CGCATCTCTTGATCTTGGCATCCTTAATTCTGAACTAATGTATAACCTTAACGTGAAGAGTGTGGAACAAGCCTCAGGTCACTAAGGGCCAGTTTGGTTTGGTGCCCTACTAAAATCTTGATAGTACCAAAGTTTAGGTAACTTTTGGCACTACCAAATTTGGATAGACAAATTTTGTACTACCTAAGAACTGGTGTTGGTAAAATTTGGCACCAATCCAGACATATAGAAGTACTATTCAAAATTACCAATGAATTGGTAGGGCACAATTTGGCACCAAACCAAACAAGCCCTAAGATCGATTTATTGTTGTCACTACTACATTACTTCTTATTTGTAACGGCCTTTCCCGTGCCTAGGGCTTGCGTACCGTCACAATATCCTTATCTCTAACGGGCTAAAATAAACACCGACAAAGATGTACGCGTAGAAAGATATACCGGTGCATGTATTTTGAGCCCGTCGCCGATGAGATCCTATCGGTGATGGGCTTTAGTTTAGGCCCGACAAAGATTATCTTTGTAATCTCAATCGGACCCATATACTTTGCCCGTCACTGATAACATCCATCGGTGACGAGCTCTAATTAAGGTCCGATAAAGATAACAATCAGGCCCATCACGGATGGTTGTCATCAGTGATGGCCTCAATATTATGCCCGATTGAAATAACTAAAAGCTTGTCAGCGATCTCCATTCTTTGGCCGTTACTGATATCTATTGCACACTATAAATACTCTCGTCTCCTAAGGAATGTTTATCCCACCGTTCACTATTTTGGTAGGAGGTCTTGGGGGGGGCGATTTTTTTGTCTATTTTTCCAAGAAAAATAGAAAATTCAAAAAGGTAATTCAAAAATAGTAAACAATTCCAATAAATTTAGTAATACTTATCTTATAAACTTATTATCTAATATTTGTTCACTTTTGCAGGGATGGATCGAGGTTGGATGTATGGAACAATTGTGCGACATCATAGCAAAGAGTATAGAAATGGCGTATTAAATTTTATAAACACCATGTAAGAGGATAGGAAAAGAAGAAACAACGATTACATGTGTTGTCCATGTGCAGATTGTAAAAATGAGATTATGTTTGATAGCAGAGTGGACGTACACGCTGATATGATAAAACGAGGATTCATGAAGGGCAACACATGTTGAGTGAAGCTAGAGAGCAAGAGTCAGTCGGTGATGTTGCAGCTGTAGACAGAAGTGGTGGCACACAAAATCAGGAAGATGAAGATGGGTATGATATATTTGTACCATCTCCATTGGGCAGTGAAATGGTTGATGTGGATCACGATCTGCTGCCCAGACATGTTGCGTGATGCTGAGGACCTAGCTTACAATGAGAGAGATTCCATGAAGTTTAGTAGGATGGTCTGTGACTAAAAGATGCCTCTATACGCTGGTTGCAAGGCAAAACACACCAAATTGTCAGCTACCTTGGACCTAGTGAAGCTGAAAGCAAGTAGTGGATGCACAGACAACTTCGAAGTCATTAGAGAGGATACAACATGTTTCATACTAGATGAAATCTTAGGAATCAATGGAAGCTTTAGAGTGAATTCATAGCTTGCTCGTCTTTAAATGGTTGAACATTTTACAATGCTTATCAAAGACCTGTGATTACCTATATATATATATATATATATATATAGGATACCCATATGGGACTCCATGGTGCCTGGGCTCCAAGGTATAAAACACACAAATTCTCTCAAATTTTTAAAAATTTTCAAATTATGAGTATATACCTAGGTATATGAATTTGATTCATACAAATACCTAACAACAAAACAACTCAAACTCAACTTTATTTCACAATTTATTATTACATACCTAATGAATTATATGTTTGGAAGTTATATACCTAGAACCAAAATCTAACAAAAAAAAAGTTCAAACTCAGTTCAAACTTGTTTGAACTTGTTAGTAAAGAAGTTAATGTTCATATCTAAACATTTAAAAAAATTTCATAGTCATTCAAATTGGGTATATTCTCAATTTAAATCTTGGAGCCCATACACCATGTAGCACCAGTTAATTTACCTATATATATATATGTATATGTATATGTATATATATATGTATATGTATATACATATATATATGTATATGTATATACATATATATATATGTATATGTATATACATATATATATATGTATATGTATATATATATATATATATGTATATGTATGTACATGTATATATATATATATGTACATATATATACATGTATATATATATACATATATATATACATGTATATATATATATATGTATATATATGTATGTATATATAGACATATATATATATATACATATATATATATATATATCATATATATACATATATACATTTATATATATGTATATGTATATATGTATATACATATACGTAATCCAATCCGGTCTGATGTTTCTATATGTACTTGCGATACTAATTACATATAAATTTGTTTAATTTATAACTCGGTTTTGCGTGTTCTGATGCTTGACTCTTGAAGATGCATGTCGCTGAATGGATGTGTGATCAGTAAATATAAGGCCCGGTTTAGTTGTTTGGCAAAAAAATTTGACGTATATGGACACATATTTGAAGTATTAAATGTAGACTAATAATAAAACAAATTAGAGATTCCTCCTATAAACTGCCGGACGAATCTATTAAGCCTAATTAATCCATCATTAGCAAATGTTTATTGTAGCACCACATTGTTAAATCATGGCGTAATTAGGCTCAAAAGATTCGTCTCGCAATTTACATGCAAACTGTGCAATAGATTTTTTTCGTCCATATTTAATGCTCCATGCATGTGTCCAAACATTTGATATGATGGAAAAGTTGGAAGTTTGAAGGGACAGCCTATGATTGATTTGTGAATTGCCGTGAATGGCATATATTTGAATGGATATGTGAATGTGGATGTAATCACTGTGTTTGATTTGTGAATGGATGTGTGAATGGGTTGCTTGGAAAGAGAATATATAAATATGCTTATTTCACTTTGCAGCCAGCATGGCTAGCAAAGGCCTGAGGCTAGCAAAAAAAATTAAATTTTATTTTTTTGGTAAAATATTCATTCGTGACAGGCTTAAATAAAAGACCGATTGAGATGATTTCATCCGTGTCGGACCCAAATTTAAGCCCGATAGATATGAGTCATCCGTGACAGGCTTAAAAACAAGCCTTATTGAGTGAGTCATCCGTGATGGGCGCCATACCAATCCCGTGATTAAAGTATGAGCCCATCACGGATAATCTCATCGGTGGCGGGCCCTAGTTTGGCCCTGATTTGACTCATCTGCTGGGTCAAAACTATCGGTGACAGGCTTTATTTTTTTGTCCGATTGACATAGCTATCATCCGTGACGGCCAAATGCCCAACATAGATGAATTCTCACATCTGTGACCTTTGGTTCGTGACAGGAGCCCTTCCCGACACAGATGAGGGTTTCTGCCCAATTGAGATGACCTATCCCATGCTAGTGTGTAATCGACGTTCCTCCGGTGTTAAATCCATGGTTTGATTTATTTTCTCCTCCACGGCACTTGCATTGTTTTTTCTTTTCATTCGTATATCAACTTTGTTTGGTTATGCGGCATCGACGCTCGAATTCGATCGATCCCATCATCACGCAGCATCATCAGCATCATGATGTGAAAACTGCAAGTGCAGGAAACACTATACCCTTCTTTTTTCCGTTTATATATATCCTATAGGTACGTCTTGACTCTTGACGACACAAGAAGCTGCTCTAGAACTTACATCATGTGCGCCTGGTTTTTCTTCTCTCAGGCAAGACAATGGCATCTGCATCAACTCAGTGGAAACTTCACTCTTCCTCATAATGCTCCGGGAGATATGGATCATCTTATGATTTCACATGACATACAATGTTTCGTTTCTCTAGGTAATTGCTACATATTGGAATACAGGACATGTCAATATCCTTGCTTTATTTCGTACAGACTGATTTTTTTATCAAAGAACATGATATGTTGCGGCAATATACAATCATAAAAATTAAAAACTAAAAATTGAAAAAATGTTTAATACTTCACAACATATTTTTTTTCAAAGAATGCACAATATAATTTGCTTATTCTTCTTATTTCCTCTTCAACGCTAAATTATTGATATCCTCCCCATAATCACATTGTAGGTTTTTGTATGGCATGATATATAGAAGCAACGTCAACCTCCATGTCATGCACCAGAGTGGGAACACTGGTTACTACTCCGCAGAGATGCGCTTAATCACCATGTTCCCTAGCATCCCGAGGTCATCAACATATTAATTTATATATATTGTTCCAATGATTCTTCTGAGTTTAATGCATGGTGCCGTTTCTCTTCAATGCCCCCTGATCCAGCACCAGATGCAATCTGTAACTTTTTTCTATGGTCCACAGTGATTTTTAATAGATGGTGCTTGGATCGAGCGGCCACACACAGCATCAATAATTACTCAAATTCGATGCCATGCATTTTCAGGTTGCCAAAATAACCGCTGGAATCAAATTTCAAACTGATCTAAATTTAGGTCATTAGCTATGTGGGTAACATACTCATGTCATTTTTTTTCTGTACGTATTATATAATAGTTAGTAGTCAAAGGAAAACAATGGCATCTGTGTCAGCTAATCGAGCCATATGTTTCACGTAAATTCCACGCCTGCTAACAATGTTCAACGATATAACTTATGATTTTATCTGGCAATATATTCCATGTTTCTTTATATTTTTTCCTATAGGATATATGGTTATTGCCATAATACATTTACGGAAGATCATCCATAATGCATTATATATATTATGAGGTCTATCTTTAGTCGAAATCGATGTATCTATATTTCGTTAATAAATAAGCAGTTGTATCCATCTTGAACTCTTAAGTTAGTATTTTATTTTATTTATTTAATAACGAAATTCAAAGTTATCAATTAGTAACATATGATTACATTTTCTAAAATTTATAATATAATGAAAATGCAGAATTTAGTATTTATAATATAAGTGATATATAGCCTCTGCAAGACACGGGTTGGCGGCTAGTATATATAATTGAGAACGCTGTGATCTACAAATTGAGTTTTACAGGTACAGACCACAAGAGAAGACAGACGTCTCAACTTATATATGAACCCCTCGATTCAGTAGGAAGCAACAAACAGTTAATTTCATCTCTTTTGACGGTCAACGCGGAATAAGCCAGCGTGTTCAACCAGGATCCAAACGATGGTGGTGAGCTCACCACCACGGCTGAGCTGCTTGGCGTGAGAATCTCTTGTACACTTGACGGACGCGTTAATCAGCAGACGCACCCACTCCAAGAAGATGTGTTCCAACAGTTGCGACCATTTATCGGGGTGGTCGGACATCGGCCGCTCGTTCAGGATTTCCCTCAATTTCGGAAACATCTGTGCAAATTTTGCCTCGTAAGAGTATTCACATTCGGGAAATTTGACCCAGCAATTACCATGTAGCCATTGCAGCAAATGATCAGCTAGTTTAATCCCATCTGACAGAACAATACTAACGTTGTAAAGATCGGTTGTATAGTCTGGTTCCCAGTTCCGGGTCCTGTAGCCTAGCCTCCAGTTGTCGGATTTATCCGGCCTTGTCCCTCTCTTTTTGTTCTCCATGCATCGCAAGATGTTAGCAAGACACTTTTGTCTTGTTCTGGAGCTACAGCGGGAAGATTCTTTCTTAGACCATATTTTGGCAAGAGCTTCCTTAGTAGCTTCGTACAGGCTGCGCAGCTTAAGACCAGGTAGCATGGTGGGTCGCACCGCGACGAGGAACATCATGTAATCCGACAAGGCCTTGATCATCTTCACATTGTCTTTGGACTTGGACGATGCTGCATTTTGTTCAAATTTAGTATACATGAAGACAATATCCGTAGCGATGTGCATGATAAGAATGGACTCCTGAAATTCAGGAAGAAAATCCAGAGCTTCTTCCAATTTCCGAATGTTCTCAACATTGTGATGCTCAGGAAGCATCATCAGCAGTTTTGGCTTCTTCTCCGCCTCTTTCTTCTTCTTCTCCTCCTCCTCCACCTCCTCCATGTCTTCAACTGGGTATGCTAAATACATATAGTCCCAAATACAATCCAACAATTTCTTCTTGAAATCCTGTGAAATATGAATACCCCTCAAGTTGTGGTACTCGTACTCCATCCACATGCCCTCCGATGCTACTTTCTTCACCACAGAGCTCAAGTATTCCCTGGTCCTTTGGTCCTTGTCACGAGTGCACTCGTGCAACAAGTTATACTGCCCAATTTTTCCAGACCACTTCCTGTAGCTACTTGGTTCCTTGGCGAGGATCAATGACGGATCCAGGGAGACAATGGAACGATGGAGCTGGCGCCACTTCCCAGAGCACAATAACGCGTGATGAACCCACAGGTGTGGCCTATCATTGAGGAACGAATAGGTCCATGTTGATGCCACTGCTCTGAGAAGCCATATGATGTCTAGGAGGACTGTACCTCCCAGCAAGACATAGGTTATCAAAACGTCGGTCATCCGCTGACCTTGCTTGCTGTCAAACCAAAACAACATGAAGGCCATGGATGTGGCGAACGGAGAGGCGGCACGCATGGCGTAGCCATGCCAGGTGTGCACCATGGCCGCCTTGGTGTAGAGAATGTCGTACATGAGGGAGAGCTCCATGTCGACCACCTTGTACATCATCCCCCAGCCACTCTTAGGAAATATCTCTCGTCTCCTGCCAGCATAGACAGGGATTTGATGCTCGTTGATTGAAGAATCGACGAAGGCGCCTTTGGTGATGTCGAGCAGGCCATGAGCAACCAGCAGTGCCTCCTCGTCATTATCATGCTTTGAACTGCTTGGACGCCTAATATTTCTCAAGCTTCGTCGTCTCCTTGTCTCCTTCTTCTTCTTGATTGAGCTTCGCAAGTTTTCTAGGTTGGCGAGCTGCATAGCTTTCGCCCTCTCCCAATACTTAAAAATGCCCATGATGAACATGAAAGAAGAGATCCAGACCATCGTACCGGACCCGCTTCTGATGACTATATTCTTGTACATGGCAAATGCTGCTCCTGATACCTGCAAGATCATTTCTACCTTCTGGCGCGTCGACAGAACATTGTCCTCCAAGGAGTAGGCGGTGATGTTGTCCGGACCAGCGGCATGGAGCAGCAGGAAAGCCCCCCAGAGCGTCACCAGCTCCAGCTCCTGCGGCGTGCTGCCGAGGGCGAGCTTGCTGAGTGCGTACGTCGCGGCCCACCGGCCCAGCTGGTTCGCCGCCCACAGGATGGTTATCGGCAAGCCAATAGCCCTACGACGGCGGACTCCGGCCAAGAAGACGATGGTGACGTGCGCTGCGAAGCTGAATACTACCAACGCCCGGATTACCCACGAATTGAGCAAGAACACCGTGCGAACCATCCATCCAGGCATCGTCTGATGCTAACACGTGTGTTAGTTGAGCAAGAATTAATATTGATGAAAAAAACCATATAAATCCAGGACACAAAACCAGATAAATTACGAGAAATAGACAGGGCGTACCGAATGCTCTTGGAATCTGATGGCGAGTATGCACTTTGCAGTTGATCACTGACGGACTAAGCCTGAGATATTGGAAGATACAACTGAAAGAAGAACACGGGACAAGATCTGAACTTAGTGGCCGGTTGTGTTTCTGCATACGCTTTACATTTAATTAGCGTCTATGCATGTGCTTTACATTTCATTAGCCCAACAGGCTTATAGCTCACACTCAATGCTAACCTGATCTATCTTTTTAATCAGTTGACTCTATAAACAATGACATATTATGTGTCCCTATTTATATACCGTTAGCGTGTTAGCCTGAAGATAATCTTGTGCATTTGCAATAATTTGTTTGATTTCAGTTAGTAAGTTTGAATTCTTAGGCATAGGATGCTGCATGCATTGTAACGGCTGTCCCAGGAAGATTCAGTCTTGGGCAGCTGAGTTTTTCCCGTTTTTTCTGTTAGTATCGATAGAACTAGATCTGGAGCGTCGGATGGCGCGTTCACTCGTTTGGATCCGGTGAAATCGGTGTTTGTTATGCATGTAACAACCTCACAAGATGAGGGAATAAATTGAAGAGAAATCAGAAAAGCTGCAGGTGGTTACGCAGCACCAAAAAAACTCTGTTCTTCGTTTCAGTTCTTCAGTTACTGTTCACGTCTGAAAAATATTCAGAGATTGTAGGTTAGCCACTGATCGAGAGCTGAGCGAGGGATAGTGACCATGGTATAAACCTGATGGTTATATTTTAATTAATGTACATGTGGGATACCAGGCAAGTAATGGTATGAACATGGTACATGTTCCCAATGGCAATTAGGGGTGGCAGCGGGGCGGGGCTGGACCGGGTTGGGCAGGAACGCCCCCGCATTTTCCCCTCGCTCCCGGCCTCGCATTGGCCACCGGGTGAATAACCTGAGCCGCCCTCGCCCCTGCAGGAGACCTGACGGGTGAGCGGGCCTCACGAGATACTGACCCAACGAGTCAATTTTATGTGACACGGGAACACTCGAATGAACAACCGAAACCGGCGAACGGAACCGGCGACTCTGAACGGCTCTTGTCGGGTCCCAAAACTAATAACTTGGATCCGACTTTGATTAATGTATCAATCCCTGGATCAATAAATATTGATACATGTAATACAGCTGGTTCTTCATTGCATACGTTAAAGTTTACAATACTAGGGGTTTTACAAGGGTAGGTACTTACCTAATTAAACATATGTGCTAATATTACACAGCGGAAGTTCTAGTACATTCTGACTAGGAAGGTATAACCTCTAGGGATTTTCTAAGTTATCAGTCATCATAATAATAATCACAGGGGTCCTCCTCTTGACCCAAATATGAAAAAGGGTTAATAAGAGCAAGGGTGAGTATTCGGAATACTCAGCAAGTTACCATGGAAATATGTTATGCGTTGGCATGGAGTGGAGTTCTTTGCAGAAAGCAATAATAGACAATCTAGAAATATTAAAGCAAGAGTTTGTAAAACATATACTTTAGGTTTCTAACCAGGGTACCATATGAGTCCCGATACTCAATTCCGTGTGCACGGCTATTTGAATAGTTTTAATGATATTCTACTGCAGCAGATGTACGCTTTACCCGCAGTCCACGACTTGCTGATAATCATCAGCTTTAGTCATGGCCCAGTATTAGGTTATTAACAATTGTGGCACCTGTTCCATGAACTTATATCCTCATATGCTCTGAACGTAATGTTAATTGCAGCAAAAGGAGTTCTGGATGACACCACGTCATCTCGATCAGGGTTTAGAATATACCATATAATTTATACTCGAGTATCACGAACCATTTACTTGTACATGGTAATGGTTAAAAGTTGCCCTTCACGGCTATAGTTGCCTCATACGCGAGGACTTAAAAATAAGAACCACTATACAGAGGTGCCATATTGCTAATTAACATAATAACTAGGTCTGTCCCCATTCTAGAAACTGCAGTCGTACCCGTTCGTTTGACATAACTACCTGGTAATAACTATATCGATCGAGACAGTACTAGCCACCCGGAAATCATCCAATTCTTACGTACTGTCCCAATCTAAGTATAAAATATTTTAACCAAATTGTAAGCAAGATAAGCAATACTAAATTATCTGGGTTCTATGGTTGAATTATGCCTATAAAATAGAGTGTTGAATAGAAGGCTATAAATAAATAATTTGTAAAATATAGGCTTAAATGATCAAAAGGTAGATAGTAACTTGCCTTGCTCGATGTCCTGAGATTGATTGAGATTATCTAATAGGTTAGGAGACTCCTCAAGACCTAGGGTTAAGCTTGTAAAATTCAAATTCAAAAGAAATTCGAATAAAATCCAAAAATAGGAAAAAATGAAATAAAATGATAAAATAGCAAAAATAGCCTCAAAAAATAGAGAAAGATTTTAGAAGAATTTTGGTCCAAGTTTCACTGGAATTGGGTTTATATTTTAAAAGATATGGGCTTCTAAATTTTGGAATTCACATTAAATAGGAAAATTACGAAAATTTACTGTTGAAGGGCCCACCTGTCAATCTTCCTTTCTTTTTCTTTTCTTTTTCTCTCTCCTCTCATCTTCTTCTTCCTCTCTTCTTTTCTTCTCTTTCCAGCCGAGCAACAGAGGAGAAGGAGAGGAGGGGCGCTGGCTCTCCGGCGGGCGGAAGGCGACGACGCCGTCGGTGGGTGGTGTTCCCGAGCGCCACGCACCTAGGGAGGGCGGTGGCTGGCGGAGAGGGAGAGGGAGGAGACCGGAACGCCGGCGGCAAGTGCTTGGTTCGGCCGATTTGGGAGCTGGCGGTGGTGGCTTAACTCAAGGTGGAAGGGTTGGGGGAAAGGGGTGAAATGGGTTCTCCTCGTCGAGGCAAATATATTGGCGCGAGGGCTTGGCCGGCAATGCTCCGATAAGAGAGATCGAGTGGTGGCAGCCATGGCCGGACATGGCAAGTAGAGAGAGAGAAGAGAGCTTCAAGCTCTGATGTAGTGATGTGGGGGAGGGAAGGATGATCTCGTCGGCTATTTATAGGCGGAGGAGGTCGGTTTGCAGAGGAGAGGGAGAAGGGAAACACGGCGCCGGTGGAGTGGAGCGGAAGAAAGCGGCGCCGGCTTCGTTCGGTGATTGGCTGGGCATGTCGGTTCGGTTCGGCGGCTGACGTCAGTGGCATGAGGTGGCGCTGACGTTGGGCGGCGATTTCTTAGCGTCTAAGGCAAGACGACGGCGGCGGCAGAGAGTTGTGGGCGGCGGTAGATGGACACGGCACGGCGTTGGCTGTGGGCGTTGGCGCTCAATCCAGCGGCGCCCAGGAGAGGAGGAGGAAGACGACGCGGTTTGACTGTGGGCTGATTTGGGCCAAGACAGAGAGAAGGGCTGGAAGGGAGAGAAAAGGATTTCGGCCCAAAAGAACTATTTAGGAATTTTGAATATTTTGAATTTATCTAGAGATCTTTGGAAGAGTTTTGCAAATATTATGCACTATAACAATGTCTCACTAATAGAAGGGTAATCTAGAGAAAGTTTCTAAGTTTTGGAATTTGAAGGAAATTTGCTAAATTCACTAAGGTTTAAGATAGGGCAACAATTTATGGTTTATTGGTAAACTAGGTTAAGGGAATTCTAGGGGTAATACTTGAACCAAAATCAAGAATAAAAAGAGAACTTTTAAAGAAAATTTTGATTTTGCTAGTCTAAGATTAAAACCAGCATGATGCAGTCAAATATTAGTTTAAAATTTAAGGATGTTACAAACCTACCCTCCTTAAAGAAATCTCGTCCCGAGATTTGCTTAGGAGTCTTCGAATAGATACGGGAATTCCAATTGTAAATAATATTCCCGTTCCCAAGTTGCTTCATCCTCTGTATGATGATTCCATTGAACTTTAAACATTCTTATTGCCTTAGTACGAGTTGTTCTATGTACTTCATCTAAAATTCTGATAGGATATTCTGGATAAGTTAAATCTTTATTCAGTTGATAGGATATTCTGGATAAGTTAAATCTTTATTCAGTTCAACAGTACTTACTGATATTTCTTCTTCTGGAATGCGTCAACATTTCTTTGATTGCGAGACATGAAATGTAGGGTATACGTCTGATAAGTAGCCAGATAAAGCCAATTGATAGGCTACTTCTCCATGTTTAGCAATTATTTGATAGGGTTCAATATATCGAGGGGCTAGTTTATCTTTTTACCTTAAATCTCTTTATCCCTAGTAAAGATGAAACCTTTGGGTATACATAATCTCCAATGTCAAAAGTTAACTCTCTCTGTCTAGAGTCTGCATAACTCTTTTGTCGAGATTGAGCTACTTTAAGTCTGTCTTTAATAAGTCGAACTTTTTCTTCAGCTTCTTTTAAAAGGTCCGTTCCGAATATACTTCTTTCTCCGGTTTCTGTCCATATCAATGGTATTCGACATTTTCTTCCATATAAGGCTTCATGTGGTGACATTAAACTGGCTTGATAACTATTGTTATATGAGAATTCTGCGTAAGGTAAACATTTGTCCCAACTAGCAGCAAAATCTAGAGCACAGGCTCTTAACATATCTTCTAATGTCTGGTTTAGTCTTTCCGTTTGTCCTCTGGTTTGTGGATGAAATGCTGTACTAAAATCCAAATAACTTCCCAATTCATAATGCAATTTCTACCAAAAGTGTGAAGTAAATTGGGTACCACGATCGGGGATAATTCTTTTTGGTACTCCATGTAAACATACTATCCTTGTCATATAAAGTTCTGCAAGTTGTGCTCCAGTGTAAGTTGTTTTCACAGGAATGAATCATGCAGTCTTTGTAAGTCTATCAATGATTACCCATATAGAGTCATATCGAGAAGAAGTTTTGGGTAGTCCAGTGATAAAATCCATTTCTGTTTCATCCCATTTCCATTCAGGTATTTGTAAAGGCTGTAATAATCCTGTAGGCTTTTGGTATTCTGCTTTAACTTGTTGGCAGACATGGCATAATGCAACATATTCTGCAATATGTTGTTTCATGTTTGGCCACCAGTATAGATCTTTTAAATCATGATACATCTTTGTATTGCTTGGGTGTAAAGAGTAGGCTGAGTCATGTGCTTCTTTTAGTATTACCTCTCTTAGATTTCCTGATTGTGGTACGACAATTCTATTTCCGTACCATAATATTCCTTCTAGGTCTTCGGTAATATCTGCAGCCTTTCCTCGCACCTTCCGTTCCTTAAAAATCTGTATTTCTGGGTCATCTTTTTGATGCTCTCTTATCTGATCCATATGTGTAGGTTTCAACTCCAAAGTATTTAATTCTCCATAATTAATAGCGTCAAGATTTAACTTAAGCAACTCTGCTTGTAATTGTTTGGAAATTTCTTTATTCACAGCATTCAAGCTTCTTTATAGTTGTTTTGCTATGTGAACTTTCAAAGATGTTGTCAACTTTAGGTTGTACGCATCATATTTTGCCAAGCAGTCGGTATATCACTTGGATCATATTATTCGGGGATTCACACCGCATGTCGAAACATGATTTCGGCAATAATAAAACGGGGTAGCGCACGAGACCTAAAAGTGGATGGATGTGGAGACAAAGGATTTAGACAGGTTCAGGCCCTCTCAATGAGAGGTAATACCCTACTCCTGTTTGGGGATTTGAATCCGCCGAGTGTGTATTGATCTGACGATCAGGTTGTCTCATATATGCCCCCTAGAGGGCCTCCCCCCACCTTATATAGGATGGGGGGCAGGATTACAAGATAGAAACCTTAACCAATACGGTATCGGTTTCCTAAATCAGGACTTTAGGCCGTTCCGTAATATACAAGGAAACGTAACACCCAAGTCATGATCTGTTACATATTACATAGATATAAGTTATCCCCTATAACTAGTCGGATAACCATGCCGTGTGGGTATGGGGTACCCATAATCTCCACAGTAGCCCCTGAGACCTTCACAGTCGGAAAGATAACCTTCTCTCGAACTAGATTACTCCAAAGCCGAGTGCTTCAATCATCTTCGTCATGGTCTCCCGAGTACTTTTACCAAATCTGAAGACTGTGGAGGGCTGAAAAATATAGTCAGGTGCATCGACTAGATGCACCTAATAGGTGTAACCCCCGACTATGTGGTTAATCGAACAAACCAAACATATAGTCAAGGAATAAATAATCCAACCAACCGAGTGGTTTTGATAATTATAGTCAACCAAGCGACTTAATATTAATATGTAGCATATGCGGTGTGAATCCCTGAATAATATGATCCAAGTGATATACCGACTGCTTTGTAAAATATGATGAGTGTAACCTAAAGTTGGCTACATTATTGAAAATTCACATAGCAAAATAGCTATAAAGAAGCTTGTATGTTGTGAATAAAGAAATTTCCAAAGTATTGGGCATACGCCATGCGCACACTGCTTTAACAGATGTGCTTAAGTCCCTAGAAGACACATGGTTCCACCACACCTGGAAATATATGGCATATGTGGTATAAAATCCGAGTAAATAAACTCATAAAGGATTTACCAACCGCCTGAAAAATGACCACAATATATAATCAGCCTAAGCCATAATATTGGTCAATAAAAATGCACACTTACGTGGCAAAAAGCAATGATATTGTATCCAATCAATTGCTTAAAAACCCAAACAGCACCTTGACTTATATATAAAAAAGTCAGCGGGACAGCTATATAAAGCTTTACTGTTTGACACCTTTTAAGATGCATTGTACCAACTCCTAAAAAGTTAAGTAACTGCGGTATAAAAGGATTTTAAGGTATTGGGCACTTGATCACGCGCACTTTGGCCTAAGCAAAAAGTGCCTAAGTCCCTAAAAGAACGTGACAGGCCACACCTGAAAATATGGGTTGCAGACATATTAGGCCTAGGCCAAAAAATATGCCTTCGACACCCTTTAAAGGATGACGCATGTAACATGCTCCCGAGTAATAAATCTTCCAGGTATTATAGACCAAATGTAGCTCATATGAATAGCTTCTGATCTGAGTGGTTACGTAACAATTGAATCCCGACTGGCGCAAGTATTCAGTTGATAACCCTTACGGGGAATAATAAATAGTCCAGTCTTTGAGCATAGAAAATAGACCCATGATCACGAATTCATATTGCATATATCCAGAGCAAGTCTAAATTGGAGATATAATCCTCACGCTTGAGTTGATGAGCAAACCGACGATGAAGACGTAGACGCGCATCAACGGTGATGGCGAAATCCACCGATCATGAAGATGAAGAAAATAATCGGCGACGACAAACGCAACCGACATGATGAAGATGACGATGTCGGTGATCCAGCCAATAGCAGTGTAGCAACCAATGATAATGACAAAGGCGCTCATCAGCATTTGCATAGTAGGTCAACCGTGAAGGTGAAATATTTGGAGGAGAGTTGATGCTGTTGTTCAACTCGTCCAAACCGAAATATTTGAAGTTGTTGAAGTAGAATGTCTGCTCCGAAGCAAAGATGAAGATAATGACTCCTGGAGCTGACTCATTGGCTGATTAATTGATTTCTTCAGCTTTTGAGCCTTGTATTTGTGTAGCCCCCGACTCTTTGGTTAGTTGGGAAACAACTGAACATAGAGTCGAGAATTATAGCTTCTTGTCGTCGAGTAGTCATTGCTTGATTGAAGATATGTGTTGAAGATGTCCAAGTAGAAATCCATGATGACAAAGTTGCATCGCCGTGATGAAGTGAACACGAGTCGGCGGCAACAGAAGCAAACTGGTAGTGAAGACGCGCAGTTGTGAAGATGAAAGCACCAGTCGGCGGCGGCATAACCAGTCGGCGACGGAAGACGATGATGTCCATCAGTAGTGGTAGCGGTATAAACCAGACGTAGAGGCGAGGGCACTAGTCAACAGCAGACGAGATGACCGGCGGTGAAGAAGATAAGGCCAACCAACACTGGTAGAATCATGCAGCCATGGAAGTGAAGAAACCAGTCGGCAGCAGACGTAGGCAACTTGTGTTGACGATGCTGACGCCTATTAGCGGTGACGGCGATGTAGC